ATTTTTTGGTAAGATACTTGTACTTTTACTCAAGTATCACTTTGTGGTACTTTATATAACACTGTATTAAATGATGATTACAGGACATTTGATACTTTGTGACAGTGGTTCTCTAACGTTTTAAGTTTGGGGACCCCTTACTAGGGTTAAACATTTCCAGGGACCCCCTTATAAACCCCATGCTGTTTAGGAAATAATTTACTGTCATTTTACCTCCTAAATGTCATGAGAATATTATCTTTTGTTTGGTTTAGTATGTTTGTTTTACTAGTGTATTGTGCCCCATATGCATTTTTTAAAAATAAAAATCAAATGAACAATTTATTGAAAATCTTTGAGGACCCCCCAAGATACGGCTTGTGGACCCCAGTTATGAAGCAGATTTGCTTATTTGTTTTTGTCCCATTAATATAACAATAAATAATTTACTCAATTTTAAAAGCATAAATGAGAACAGTGAGGTGTGCGATATTAAAGAGGAGCACAAGACTCAGAAACATCACCCCAAATTGATCTTAACAGATATGTTGGACTGTCCTCATGTTGAACCCACACCTTAGACTCAGCATCAAGTATCACAGCAGTTCAGACGTTACCACAGATGCTTCTGTTTTATCATCGACATGTTTGTTGATATACCCTGCTGAAACTGAAGTCTTTAATTATTTGATTGGCCCCAGAGCCGCTGGTTGGCATAGAGAGGGCAAATAAAAATATATTTTTTAGTTGTACATAAAAATCATCAAAACAAATCGATTTGAATAATTAAAACTCTGTATAACTCAAATCATTTTTTATTTTTGTTTTCCAAATAAAAGTTTGTAACTATTCATTATTTTGATAAAGAAATAAAGGTTTAATATGATTGCTGTTGATTAATCCATCGAGTAATATGTAATTGAATGATTTTTTTCTGAAAAACTCCAGAATGAAGACATGTGTGAGTAAAAGTTTGAGTTGTAACAATAATGTTGAATATTTTCAGTGTTGTATAAAGTACCACAAAGTGATACTTGAGTAAAAGTACAAGTGTCTTATCATAAAATGACTTTTGTAAAAGTTAAAGTCTCCTCTAAAAATATTACTTGAGTAAAAGTCTTAAAGTACCCGATTTATTTTGTACTTGAGTATCAAAAGTAAATTTCTGACATAAAATGCGCTTAAGTATTAAAAGTAAAAGTATTGAATAAAAATGAATGGTTAGATTTTCCAAATACATTTTTAAAGGCGTGCAGCTGTGATGGATTGTGTACAAACTAATATGATGTCATAATGGTATATATTTATACTTCTAATTCAACCACAATTAAATTCAAAGACACAGTTTATCGGGATAGTTTTTTTTTTTTACTATAATGAGCCGGAATAAAATAGGAGTAATGATTTTCTACTTCTTAACTTTTTTTTAAACGTAGTGAGTAGAAAGTACAGATAATTGTGTGAAAATGTAAGAAGTAGAAGAAAAAAGTTGGCTGAAATTAATTTACTCAAGTAAAGAACATACCCAAAATTTCTACTTAAGTACAGTAACAAAGTATTTGTACTTAGTTACTTTACAACTCTGAATATTTTTCTGTTATTAGAGGTGTTGCTCCTCTACAAATAAGTTTTGACTGTTTTTTTTAATCACTTAACTACTTCTCTTAGTTTGATCACTGACGGTTGTTGGCAAATGCATAAATTTATGACTTCATCACTTCAAGGATCCAGTTTTAGACGTGTGGGCAGGACTGCATGTGTCACAGGCTTTTATAAGTCTGATTTGCGTGTTTGACAAAAACGCTCTGCTCTGCTGGTATTTACAGTGTGTGGGCGCTGTGTGATAAAGCTGAGCAGGTGCGGCGTTGAAGTTCCACAGAGGTGTTGGCCGTGGCCGCTCGGCAGGACACATGGCAGAGGAAGGCAACAAGCTGACACTGAGGCGCCTGGAGGCACCCGTCCACAAGTTCTGTAAGGTGGCTCTGCCCACGGACCTGGAGAGGCTGCAGAAACACCACAGCAACATACTGAAGGTGACGCCTGAAAGCTGCTCAGCAGCTCCAACACTGGTGCTTTCAGAGCTCAGGTGGAGAGGTAACGCTTGTTCCGTCATGTTCCCAGTACCAGCAGAGCCAGCAGTGGGACCGCCTCCATCAGGAGCACATTAATGCCAGCAGAACTGTTCAGGTACATCCGAGTGCTCTGTTAGCTCCATCAAACATCTGAAGATTCATGTGTGTATGTGTGCAAAATGTACTTTTTTGAACTTTATATCATGTTATAATGTCAAAAACATCCCCAGAGTGTTGCTTTGACTCATTCCTGCATGTTTGAGAAATTCTTGAAACTCCTGTAGTAGCCACGTGGAGCTTTCTAAACACTCGCTGCTACAAAGCTCCTCCCTGGAGCTCAGTCTGCAGCCGAGCTCCCGCCCCACAGAGCCCCCCTCCCCCACACAGCTCCATCACGAGCGGTAGCAACGATTAGCAAACACCTGGTGGAACTGCACGTCTGCTGAGCATCAAAAAGAAAAAAATCAGTAGGTCCTCTGGATGGTTCTTCTTTAGTGAAAAGTTTTGTCTCTCCTCCAAGAGACTTCTTCAGTCTGATGAGTTTCAGGTGAACTCAGCCTTATAAGCTCTGCCTCCACATGGATAAACAGGTTAGTCACATGCAAAAAGGGCCATCGCATAACAATAGGCTTGATTAGTTCTATTGTTCATAGAGGGTCATGTGCCTCATCACCTGACTTATTGGTTTGCAAGTATGACTCCGCCCCCAGTGAGCAAAAGGTGTGAATCATGGCTCCAATGATACCAATACAAAGAGAGAAAGAGGGACAAAAAACAAGGGGATGTTGAACCCCGCTTGCACTCACTACATACACATAACAAAACACCAAAGAACCACAGCTGAAGCATCCAAACCAATAAGTCAGGTGATGGGGCACATGACCCTGTATGAACAATAGAGCTAATCAAGACTATTGTTAGACGATGGCCCTATTTTGCATGTGACCAACCTGTTTGTCCATGTGGAGGCAGTGCTTATAAGGCTGAGTTCAACTGAAACTCATCAGACTGAAGAAGTCTCTTGGAGGAGAGACGAAAAGTTTCACTAAAGAAGAACCCATCCAGAGGACCTACTGATTTTTTCTTTTTGATAAAACTAATAAAGTTTTTTCTCACTGATGATTTTCTAGTGAGTAGCTAATATGCATTATGGCAGATTTAATTTACGGCCAATGCTGACTTTAAAGCAGCTTATTTTCAGACATTAATACTGTGCTATCAACTAAACAGCATAGTTACTTAAAGCCAACAGCTCAGGGACCGGACTACCGAACCATTCTGGAGGACCATGTGCCTCCACTGGTTCAAACATTGTATGCTGAAGGCAGTGCCATGTATCAGGATGACGATGCATCAATACACACAGCAAGACTGGTGAAAGATTGGTTAGATGAACATGAAACTGAAGTTGAACATCTTCTATGGCCTGCACAGTCACCAGATCTAAATATTATTGAGACACTTTGGGGTGTTTTGGAGGAGCGAGTCAGGAAACGTTTTCCTCCACCAGCATCACTTAGTGACCTGGGGTCGGATTTATAAAACTGGCGTACGCACAAAACAAGCCCAGACTTGAGTACGCCACTTTTCACGCCAAGGTTGTGATTTATAAAATCCAAACTTGATGTGAAAATGTGCGGTGCCTCACGCCAGCTTTGACCCAAGCGTATGCTCATTTTGGAGACGTGAAACTGTGACACAGATGGTGAAGTGAGGAATTAGAGCCACACTGTGTCATGATCACTGTCAGATATTTAATTTACCTTCAGAATCAGACTTAGATTTTTATTCAACTTTATCATCAGCTTTCTTAACAGTAATATTTACGCTTCTGCTGCTGAGCCATGAGGACCTTTGAAATAAAAAATACCTTAAATCTTAAATAAAAGTTCCCGTGCGCAACTCCATTCATCTGCTTCCTCCTCAGACGACCCTGACCCACACAGACCCCTCCCTGACTCACAGACCCCTCCCTGACCCACACAGACCCCTCCCTGACCCACAGACCCCTCCCTGACGAGACATTTCAACAGCAGGACAGCAAAAGTCACACTTTGGATACACGTGCAGGGCGCATCCACCCTCACCAGGGTGGATGTTATAAAACTTCACGTTTTAAAGTCCGTGTTTGTCACGGGCGTGCACGGGGGGGATGCATGCATGTGTGTGCGCGCGTGTGTGTGTGTGTGTGTGGGGGGGGGTGTCAGTATGAGATAACAGAGCAGGCAAGGGGGGAGAGGACGGGAAGAAGAGCGGCGGACTTATTTCTATTTTTATCTGACTTATTTAATTTTATTTTTATTGTTTTTTATTGTCCTGCAGGCTCTGAGAGAAAATTAATTTGAAGCTGAGTTTTTTTTAAATAAAAATCGTTAGATTACTCTAAAGCAAAATGAGGGAAAATCTGTGTCAATTACAGACATTCTGTTCACGTGAGCAGCTGTCAACCTCCAGACTCACGACGGAGCGTGTCTGAACCAATCGCTGATCAGCTGACTGATTTAAATACATCTTAACATTCATGAGGTACTTTACATTGACTGTTTATGGTTGAGTGTGAGCGTGTAGAGGGTAGAACCTGAGGCGGGACCTCGTGCGCAAACTCTGATGTGCGGCTGTGATTTATAAAGGAAAGGTGCGCAGAAACGTGCGTACGCACAGTTTTATAAATCTGAATTTTTTTGGCGTACGCCATTTCCGCCTTTTGGCCGTACGTTCACTTTTAGTATGGTTTCCACGCAATCTTGTGTAAATCTGACCCCTGGCCACTATCCTGCAAGAAGAATGGCTTAAAATCCCTCTGACCACTGGGCAGGACTTGTATATGTCATTCCCAAGACTAACTGACACTGTGTTGGCCGCAAAAGGAGGCCCTACACCGTACTAATAAATGATTGTGGTCTAAAACCAGGTGCTTCAGTTTTATTGTCCAACCCTTTACATTAGGCTGCCTTCAGGCCTCCTTTGCAAAAGAAATCTGTGATCTCAGTGGTATTTGCCCGGTTAAATTAAAGGTTAATAAAATGATGTCTATCACATAAATACCATCAAAATACTTTATAGTTTGTGGTTATAATGTGACAACATATGAAAATTAGTATTAGTAGTATTATTTAAGATCCAAGTGTGTTAAAGAAAAAAAAAACATCTTGTCTGATGACTCGGACACTTAAACTGTAAAACAGAAATTGGGGATAGTTTGCTCCTCTGGTTAGAGGAGACTGGTCTACCCAGGGTCTAAGTTAGCAGAATATTTTGTTAATATAGAAAGGCATCCGTGCAAATTGTACGAGTGAAGTGCACTTTAAAAAAGCTGCTGTTATCAGAAAAATTCACATTTTAAAACAAAATCATGGCCTGGAAGGAGCGTCTCCCGAAGCTCAAACAGACAATCTCGAGTGTGTTGAGCACTCGCTGCCTTGTTCACATGGTCGGTGTGAAATGCCTCGAGAGATGTTGTTGCCTGGAAGCCACCGTGTCTCTGAAGGTGAAATAACTCCAAACAGGCGCACACCTATCCTCTCACCATTACCCCACAGTCCCCAGAGGTGAACATAGAGTGCTTTCCCATGTCTTCATGGCGTTAATTCAGAGTTGGTCTTCTTTTTCCCCCTCTTGCTTTTAATGTTCATATACAAGTGTGTCTTTATGATAGATAAACCTATACGGTGGCTTCTTCAGTTATTACTCAGACGATTGTTAAATTATATAACTGCCGCTTTATATTTGTTTTGTTTCGTTGTCCATCTTTTTCTGGTCGTCCTTCCAGAAAGAACAGATCGCTGTGTCTCACCCTACTTAATGATTGACATGTTCTGCCACTTCTTCTCTGAAGAAAAAAGAAAGTACCCAGGAGATAGAAGCTAGCAGCTGCCACGCCTTAGCCACTACACTGAAATAAAGAACTTGTAAGATTTACTTGAAAAAATCCTTGTAACAATTTGCACTTACTTTTGTTAAGTAAATTTAAATCTTGTTAAATCTTGTTACTCATTTAAATCTTGTAACATATACTTGATCAAATTAAGTAAAATTTACATGATTTATTCACAAATCTTTAACTATATTCTTAGTAACTTTTACTAGATAATGATGAGTAAATATTACATGAATTTGTAGCATTTAAATTTACTGAACAAACAT